CTTGAAAGTTCATATCTGCTTAGATATTTGCAAAGAACTAAAGAATATTATATTTTAATCCGAAATAATTTATCATAATATTATTAATGTTATATTATCATTCAAATATTAGACGAAATAAACACTCAAATACGGGAATACACTAAAGTCACATCTCGGATTAAATCATAAAATCCAATAATTTTTAACATGGACACAATATGTCTACATTATTCAATCAAACGTTTTGAATACACACACGCACACACACATATATATATATATATATATATATATATATATATATATATATATATATATATATATATATATATATATATATATATAACGAGTAACAGCAAAATTGTCCAAATCGTCTAATTGGATAATTATCAATCCCACACAATGTTTAATATCTATAAGCCAACAAAAACTAACTGATTTTCTTTTTTCAGCTTTTCAGTTATTCAGCTAAAAAAGTGTAGTTTGAAATTCTTTTGTTGCAGACCCACTATCTTCCCAACTGAGCAATGGTGAGAGAAAAATGTTCATTCAAGCTTTCAGTAATGGAACCAGCATTCACACTCTGAGCTTTATCTTCAAAGATATTCAAGAACCATCGAGAGAACGGTGAGTAAATATTAAAAGAAGAGAACAGTAGAGAGGGAAACTGGATCAGGAAGTCACAACAGGAAGAGCTAAAGAGATCAATTAGTAAAGATTCAATTCAATGTATAAGACATTGGCAGGAGAGAGAGATGAGAGAGAGAGATAGAGAGGGGGGAAGAGAAAGAGAGAGGTTTCTCCTATGGCAGTCCAAAGAGCACTGAGAAAAGACTTGAAAATAAAATCATCCGTGAAACGTGTGAGACACCTTTTGTTACTCCAGGACAGAAAGTTAGACGTTGAAAAGTAATAAAGAACTTTGTAAGGAGAGCTTACATATAAAGTGAGAAATTCAATTCAAAGAATCGTTTATGAAACTAGCAAAAATATGAAACAATGGAACAATTAATATTAAATGACTAGTTTTGTTTGATATTCTTTCATAAAACCGTATAAAGTACAGATATTCTGCGATCCATTTAGACAAGCTCGTTAGGTTGTTTATGCGCTGTGTTCCTCTGCAACTCTAGCCTTCAGTTAGGCCTGTGAGTGTCAAATTTTCCAAGCCTTCTTTACTCATTATGTGTGCTATTTATTTCAACGGTCTCTTCCAGATGTTAAATATAAATGTCTATATTGTTTCCTTTTTTTCTACAACTTCGTCGTTGGTTACATGTTCAGTCCATTATATATTCAGTATCGTTTCGTAGAACGACATTGTTGTTTCTTGAAGTTTCCTCTCCATCTTTGATGAAATTGGCCAACCTTCATTTCTCTATTGGAGGAATGATATTGCATAACAGTTCAGACGTTCCTCTTTTCCTTTCTAACGGAAATTCCCTGTTTCTTGATACATTGCTTTGTTTTTGGAAGACATCTTTCACTAATTCTTTTCTTTTGTTTTAAATGTCTGTTACCTTCGGAACTTGAGCGATTATCGGTCTCCACATCTTCCAGTCCATTGAAGCTCTAAGTAATATTTGTCTCTATTCAGCTATTCATTTCTACATCCATTTCCACAAGATCGTTAGGTAGGATACTCGCTGTTTTCCTCGGGCTATCTTGTCATAAATCACTGCTATGGGTCTCAAATTCTCCAAGCCCTCTTTCCGTATTATCTGTCTTAGAAATGTCCATTTTATCGAAAACTTCGTGGTTGCTCAAGTATTCAGTTCATGGTATCCTCACCACCCTTCTCTAGAACCCCATTTCTGTTGACTCAATTTATTCTTCATTTTACTGCATTCACTGACATATAGGAGGAACGATATAACATAGCATTACATTATCTGTCTATATTTATGAGATGAGGTATTATCTATTATGGACTATTGTCATCTCTTGTCATATTTATCACAACGTTTGGGCCTTTTTCAGGTGTTTGGAATGACGAACTGAACCCTTTATTTCGCTCACTGGAGTAGACTGTTCTAGTTCCACGTGCCATATCTAATGGATGTCAGTTATCAGTTATCTCCTGTTAATTCCCCTCTCCAAGTTCTTCACCGCCTTAACCATATATTGAACTCTCACTCTTTGGTTCCTGCCACTGGCTCTAACTAACGCTTTATCCACTTGAGGACATATGTGTGTGAATTTCTGGGCAGTATAAACCTACTGTCAAAAGCTGGACGACACTTCCCAGATATCTCTCCCGAGTAAGACCCCCACCCCCATAGAGTAAAGCATGACTAAAGACTGTGTGTACACCTTCCCGTGCAGCTGCGGAAAGAAATATAAATGGGAGACAGGCCGCCCCTTAAGGTAAATCTTCAAAAATATGAGAAAGTTGTAACACGAGAGGAAGTGGAAAAATCAGGTATGGCTGACCGCATATAGAGAGAAAAGTGAGATCACGGCCCTCTGTAGGATCAGGTTGAAATCATAGACAAAGAACATCATTGGAAAATTCGTAAACTTAAGGAATCAGCACATATGCTAGGCCACAAAATTCTCCTGAGACGACCAAGCATAGAAATGAATACAATATAGAAACCAGTAATAAGAATTGCCAGAGAAAAGCGATAATAACAAAGAAAATTGCAATATGAGATCTGGTAAAAAACATAATTGATAACAGCAAAAATTGCAATATGAACATTGGTAGAAAATGGTTGCTGAAGATATTAGGTTTATAATAAACAGAAATTCACACGCAGATTTCCCCAAGGATACATGGCACAGTGGATAAAGGCGTTAGTTAGAGCCAGTGACAGGACCCAAAGAGTGTGAGTTCAATACCCGGTTAAGGCGGTGAAGAACTTGGAGAGGGGAATTAACAGGAGATAACTGACACCCAGTAGACGTGGAACTAAAACATTCTACCCCAACAAGCGAAATAAAAGGTTCAGTTCGACATTCCAACCACCTGAAGAAGGCCGGAGCGTACAACGGCCGGAACATTGTGATAAATATGACAACAAAGTTGAGGTCAATAATGTAAATAGTTTATAGTATGGCATTTTTTATAATTTGGTTTTTAACAAAACTAAGCATCTTGTATCATTAATACCTCGTTCAACACTCAGATCATTTTTAAAGCTTCTCTAAATCAGAATTTATTTCACTGACGATTTCAGATCAGGTTGATAAACTGCATATATATCGGTAAATGCTTTGTTATCAGAATTTAAGTATTCCTGATTATCATCTGGATTAATTTTTAATTTTAATGGCCCACACTTCTATATAATCCCTCCTCAAATGCAACAAAAACAAAGGAAAGATAACAGGATTTAGAAAATGGATTGTTTGCAAAAATGTACTGCGTAAACAGACTTGAAAAAAACGAAATCGTTACCTAGCTGCATTTAACGAAGGTGACGCTCTGTATCTGATGGGTCTAGCAGTGCACTTAATTTTAAGAGTTCCTTCCGCAAAATCAGAGATAGAATTCGAGAAAAAACTTTAGGAATTTGTCAATCGTATATACTGTCGTTTTCCATCAAGACAACACCAGACTCCACGTAACTTTTCCGACGGGGCAGGAATTAATAAAATTGGCTTACAAGACACGGCGTACACAACTTTTCTTCCATCTTCGAATGAAATGCCTATTTTGTACCCTTCAAATCTTCGTTTAATGTGAGACAATTTAATTCTCTGGACACCTGTAAAACTTAGACATATTTATCATCGATTCTACAAGGAATCAAGTAGCTGCCACAAATTTAGCGAAAGCTCGTGGAACAAAATGGCGCATGCGAAATTTTTATAGCAATATCTAAATACTCTCTTATTCACATAAGTTATCGTCATACCCAGGGTGCTTTCTTTTATGTATGCTCCATCTTTTTTGAAGAGAATAATGACCTAAAAGTCATAAAAATTATTAAAACCGATGCAAATATTGTATAGGATAATGGTAATGGTAATATTAGCTGTCTCCTTATAAACATTTGGCATTCATTGACCGGAGAGTTGGTCACATGTTTGGTCTATGGTATCTTCAGCATCTTTCTGTAGAACCACATATCTGTTGCTTGAAGTTTCTTCTTCATCTTTAAGGGTATTGTCCTGCTATATAGAAGGACATGCATCACGTAACAGTTCAATAGACTTTTGTTTGTTTCTAACGATTGTTTCTGTCTCTTAATACTATGCTTAGCTTTTGGAATGCATCTTTGGTCATCCTAATACATCTTCTGATCACGGTGTCGCATTTTCTGTTCTCTGTTAGAACACTTCACTAATATTTAATTTATGTACTTGTTTGATTTTAGTTTCCCCGAATTGTCATTTGCATTTTAGGCTCATCCTTTTGCTGATAACCATGCATTCTGTCTTCCTTTAGCTTACACTTAGTCATTTCTTCTCGCTTTCCCTTGCTACCTTCTGTAGAAGTTTTTGTAGTTTCCTTTCTGCGTATATTATCGACATTTTGTCATCTGGATAACTTATGATAAAAATTTGGCCGCCAACAATGAATACTGGTAGGACATTACTTCTCTCAGAATTGTGTCTAATTGTATTTGTAATTGTCTAATTGTACTAATTCCATATCATGATTTGTTCAGGGTAGGTGCTATCACTGATTTTATTTAATTTTTAGATCATAATGTTTGTTCTTAAGAAGGTTTTAAATAGGCGTTTATGTAATAAGAACCTAGCCAGTGCCATCAGTGTCGTTGAAATTGGCTTGTGGTATATGATTCAGAATATGAGACTGAAAGAAATTTATTAAAACTTTGCCTCGAAGAAATTTAGTCTTAGTAATATGAGCATTATTCACGTAGAATGTGTTTAAAAAATACTTACACTTATTCGAATAGCTCTTTCTAAAGAACAGTAAAGGCCTCATTAAGCAATATATGAGTAGGATTGAAATGAAAAAAGAAAAACTAAAAATATATTCAAATTATTCTACGAGAAAAGAAATCATGAAAGAAGAAAAATAATATTAAATAAAGATAAACAGAAGACAGCAAAAAAAAGAAGAGAAACATGAAGCAAAGGAAAGAAGAAAAAGAAGGGAAAAAGAATTAGGAACAAATAAAAATAGAAAAGAAGGGATGGGGAACGAGAGTGAGGGGAAAAGGAAGAAGGAGAAGATAAATAAGATGTGGAAGTACAATAAAACGGAAGAACAAAGAGAAGAAGAAGAAATGTAAAAAGATGAAGAAGAAAAAGAAGCGAAGAAGATGACGGAAAGGATAAAGAAGGCCAATGAGAATAAACAAAGAAAGAAAAAAGAAAAGAAGAAGGCTAAATGAAGCCGACAAAGAAGAGGGAAAAGAAAGTGAAAGAGTAGCTGAAGAAGAGAAAGTAAGAAATGAAAAAAAAAATTGAGAAAATGAAAAAGAGAACAATAAGTAAATCCGAAGACTAATTGGATGAAGAAACAAAGCGAAAAAGAATGCTAAATAGATGAAGAAGAAGAAGAGCAGGAGTTAAAGGAAAAACTAAGAGTAATGAGAAAATGAAGGGAAAAATAAAGTAAAAAAAGATAATAATATAGAAGATAAAAAAGCGAAAAAGAGGAAAGCAAATTACATGTCAGGTTAAGAGAATCTGCCGAAGAAGGGTAAAAAGAAAGAAACGAGGAGAAGATGGAAATCAACAATTATTAAATGTGAAACAAAATAGAAGTTAAGAAAAGAAAAAACAAAGAAGAAGACAGTGATTTATGAGATGTTGATGATGAGGATGATAATGATGAAGAAGAAGAAGATGAACATGAGAATGAAAGAAGATAAAGTGGTAAATTAAGAAGAGAAAGAGAAAAGGTAGAAATGTCTTCATAGAGAAACGAAAACATCTTGGGAAATAACGAATGAGAAGAAAAAATGAAAGGATTCGGTTAAGAAGAAAAATAAAGTTAATTCAAATTCGAAGAATAAAGGCAGTTTCGATTGAAAAAGTCGAAGAAAATCAAGGAAAATAATCAAAGAGAAAGAAAAATTTCGGATCACAAGGAACAATTGAAAGAAAATTCGTTCAGATAAAAAAGAAGTCGGATTGAGGGAACGCTTTATTCTAAATCCTAAACTATTGTTAGATGGATCTCTTTTATGGAAGAACTGTTTAGTCTTAAAAGATAGAAGAAAAACAAGGAAAGTAGTTCCGATTAAAAGTTGAACATGAAGAAGAATAGTTTTCTCTGAGAAGAAGAAGAAGAAGAAGAAGAAGAAGAAGAAGAAGAAAACGACTGTTTCACGCTAAAAGAAACAGAAGAGTTAAGGCTGAAAAAGAAAAGAAATAAGGGAAAAACACAATAACAGAAAGAACAATCAATAAAAAAGAAGAAAAAGATAATCACTGAATATGAAAAAACAAAGAAGAAGGAAGAAAAACTAAAAGGAAAGAATAACAAAAAGTTGGAAAGGAATTAAGGATGAAAAGAAAAAAGAAATATTATTATAATGAAATAAGGAAAAAGAAGTAAAAAGCAATCAAATCTTTACAAGAGGATAAAGAATGAGAAAAGAAAAGAAAAAATGGTTTGCTAGTGAGTCGAGAAAGAAGGAGCTGGAAGGGTAAGATTGTGTGGATAGATAAATTAACGTCCCAGTCAAATAACTAGCTTAGAGTCATGCAATCCTGAATCCGTTTGGTGAAACACTCAGTTCCATTTCATGGCATCGATTTGCAAAGAACAACTTGTTATTTTCATGGCGACAAGACAAAATAATCGTAAAAAATAGATGCTTGAGAACAACAAAGACAAAACAAAAAAAAAAAAAATACAAAAAAAAAAAATACAGAATAAATCTAAAACGAGTAATTTGCAAGATTTTCTTTCTTTCTTTCTCTCCAGCCGCTGATTAGTTCGGTTCTATAAACTGAAGTCATAACAGCGGCGTGAGAATCAGGGACCGTAAATTGTTGCAATATAGACAGGCTGCAATCATATGATAGAATAGAGAAATGCACGAATTTATTGGCAAAGTAGTAGTTGATAGGCCAGAGGAAGGACAAAATGGCGGAGTAGGTAGGACAAAAAAGACAGAAATAAAATCAGAAGTCAATATTAGTGAGTTTTGATTAAGATATATTGAGAATAAAAAACACGAAAAGCAGAAAATTACTCATCTATTACTAGTTCTGTCTGATTTTATGGAAATACATCAGTAGATCCACGGGCTAATAAGGAAAGAAAACAAGATTTATTTTACACAACAAATATTTATTTTCAGCATAATTTAATTCCGTGTCAATGCACTTAATTCAGTAGTTATTAGTAATTGCATTGATCGAAATTTATACAATGAAGATTTCATATCAAAAGCCAGCTCGCTCTCTTGCGGTGAATTCATTGATCTTTTTTGTATATACTAGTTTCACAATTATGTATACGCATTATGTTTGTGAATAATAATAATAATAATAATAATAATAATAATAATAATAATAATAATAATAAACAAGAAACTAAACAAGAAAGTATCCAATCACCTACTCTACATGGATGATCTCAAAGTCTTTGCTAAAGACGACAATAAGTTGAAGGATCTCCTCAATACTGTAAAATATTTCAGTGACAACATAAATATTCATTTCGTAACTTTCAAGAAAAGGAGAATTGCAGAAACACACTCACTAGGTCTAGATTTTGTCACAAATATTACGGAATTTTTAAATGTAAATATTGAATTCTAGGAATTAGCAAAGGAGGTGGAATACAGCATACCCAAATGAAGAAAAAGATAAGAAAGGAGTACAACAGGCGGGTGCGTCTGGTACTGAATACTGAGCTGAATTCAAAAACCGAACATCAGCTACAAATACCTTGACTGTCCTTGAAGTGTTTCAACATCCTTAACTGGACCTTATCTGACATTAAGAGAATGGATGCCAAAACGAGAAAGCTTCTTATCTCCCATCGCATGCATCATCCCAAAGCCGATGTTTATCGTCCTTATGTGCCGAAGGAGGCAGACAATTAGTTCAAATAGAATTGTCTTACAGAATTACAACAATTTGCCTTCAAAGATATCTGGAAACTACAGAAGACTGGATGATGATCTGTGCCAAAGAACATGAAAGTAGGAAGCGACTTTATTCAGTAATAAAGAAGCCCACAAGTTCAAAATGCCGTTTCAAGTGGGTGAAGAAATGCAAGTAAAACATAATACACCTACTGCAGCTACAAAAACCTTAAAAAAGGAAGCAAAGGCAAATGCAATCGTCCAGATACAGAAACGATGGCAAGATAAAAAGCTTCACCGTCAATATTCAGCACGTACCAAACAAGCTGATATAGACAAACTCCTTGCACATCAGTGGCTGTCTAGTGCAGGGTAAAAAGCTAAAACCGAAGGTTTTATTCTTACTGCACTGGCTTAATGCTTTCTAATTAGAAATTACCAAGCACTTATACTGAAAAAAACATGCTAGCTCAAAATGCACATTCTTTGATAAGTATCCAGGATAAATTGATCATCTTGTATCAGGTTGCACTGTATTAACACCCACTGAATGTAAAATCGGCATGGCATAGTGTGACAATATCTGCAATGGAAAATATGCAGTTTTACGGAAAGGAAACTGCAAGAAATTCGTACGAACACCACCACGACACTATTACAGATATAGGTCCTGTAACAATGGGAATTTACAATATGCACAGAGAGGGCAATCAAAGCTAATCGCCCAGACATCCTGGTTAGAAATCGCAAAGACAAGATGTGCCTGCTTATTGACATGGCAGTCCCTGTAGACTGCAATGTATCTTTGAAGATCTTCAAAATAGCTATCAAGAATCTTGAAAATCAAAATCTGAAAAATACATGAGGATCCCTGGGATTTATTGGAAAAGGGCACGATAGACACATTGTAGGGGATTCCTAGTAGCTTATACCTTAAAGAAATACAAAGTATTTTACTAACAAGTACAGCTGACACATTACGAAGAGCTTTATCTCTATAAAATGTGTGTCTTTCTATTTTTAACATAAACACAGTGGAAAAAATGTCACAAAGAATTTCTGACATTAGTTCTCTTGTTGGGACTCGGAAGAAAATGTGTATACAATAGAAATCAAAGAAATAATAATAATAATAATAATAATAATAATAATAATAATTTACATTATTTAGTAGCGAATTAATATCCTCTTTTTTGTTGTTTTTATCACAACATTTCAGCCGTTGTTCCCTCCGGCTTTCATATAAACAATACTAAATGGTTACTGATCTCAATTAATTGCAGGCGATAACATGCACATGTTTTGTCTTGGAGAATTATTTTTTATACTAAATATTACGCAATATAAAGCTCAAGAGACACTCAAGACAGAGAAAATGGTTATAGTTTACGAAAGGCGCTATCGGAAAGGAAAGGAAAACGAAACTGAAGACGAAAAAAATGAAAAAAATTCTTTATTCTGAACATGTTTTATACATACAATCCTGCTATATTTAAATATAAATATTCAATGTTTTTCCTTTAATTTCAAATTTATGTTTTTATTACGAAATGGATTGATTTCCTTATAGCTTCCGAAACTGCGTTTGGACAAGGGCACATATATTGATGCATACGGAAATATATTGATGCATAGTTCACACAATAAAATGCCAAAGAGCCCCTCAAGTTAGTGCATGAAGTTGTTGTAAGGAGGGCGTAAGTGGCGCATATAATCAGGGTATGTAAGAAAGATAATGGTTGACCCTAGGTTTGGTACATATAGTCTTTATTAATTATTTTTGGCAGTTTCAATTTTCTGGATTTCTGGTTTAACGCAGAAAGTTGATATGGAGTGAAGTAAATTTGATTCATTCGTTTGTGTTGCATTAGCAACTATTGCCAGAGAGCAAAATGTCGTTATATTTAAATAAGTATTCATTTTTCAACATTATCTACGTCCTTCTCAATGCCCTTAATTTACTGTTGAATATTATCAATATTACAAATGAAGAATTATTTAATTATAAATATCGGACCTTTTTCGTTCCAAAGTAAGAATATTTACAATTAGTGGCCAGTGTTTTCGACACAGTCTCTCAACTGTGATAGACATGTCTTTATTCCAGAAGGAGACATTTCGAATATTTTAAGATAAAGCGACATTTAAATAAATACATCAGATATTTTTCTTTCTATATATACATAGTTTCTCAGATTATTAGCCAATTAATTTTACCTTTTCTTGTAGAAAATTCATTGAACAAAATTAAATGTCTATATTTCTGAGATGAAATATTATGTACATTATTTACATTCGGACTATTGTGTTCATCTTTGTCGCCATATTTATTACAACGCTTAAGATGTTGTACGCTCCGGCCTTCTTCAATATGCAATGGAGACAATTTACCTATCGCACCTTGTATAGGTATGTGTGTATGTGTATGCCATCTGCAACGATCAAACTGAATTTATACTTGCTCTTTTCTATATTCACGCTTCAATAACCGATATCCTTTAGAAAAATAGATTTTAATCAATATTAGTGATTAATCTTGTCTTACAATGGCTTCTACAATTTTTTGCTTTTCATTGTAATTAAATCAAAATAATATATTGGTGTTATCTATTATTATGTTGATATTATTTGGGTTGTTCCTGATATGGTAAACTATATGTTTTCGAATTTCATTACAATTTGGCAAATGACAAGTCAAGTCAATGTAAGTATTTAATGTTGTTCGTTGGTTATTAGCGTTATATATATATATATATAGGTACCTCCGTTTATTTCGCGAAAATCTAATATAGCATGACAAGAATGGTCTGAAAATTAACAAAAAAAATTTTTTTCATGATAAAAGTATATTTCATTATTGAGAAGAAACACTAAAGTATTTTTTGAGTAATTTTTGAAATTTTTTACTCATTCTTAGCATGTCCGAAATTTTAGTTAAAAAAAACTTGTTTACAAAATAACGAACAAAAGCTCGATATCAGCCATATTTTTTGAAATTTTAAAAATAAGTTAAATTCTTTGTTTAAAATTCGTTTAAAAATTAATTATACGTATTTCAAAATTTATTCGAAGAAATTTAGAAAATTTGAAATTTATTTAAAATATTTGAAAGAAACTTTTACCTACTTTCTTCGGAGAAAAATGTTTTTTAAGATAAAAGAGAGCCGATCTCAACATCGCCGCAATTGACAAGTGCTGAGTGATGACGTCTATAAATTATTGACAGCTGACGTGAGATTCAAGTTCTCGTACGGAAGAATAGAATGGACATATCGTTTTTTTTTTTTTTAAGCGGACCTACTTAAGTAGTACTTTGTATTATTTAAAGTAAAAAAAACTTTCGCCATTTCTTATTTTTTTTTAAAGTACTGTACCAAAAGTTTGTTGAGGGTATCTGGAGAAATTATAAATACTATTAAAAAAAT